TGCACGAGGCCTGTGTGGGTAAGGAACTGGACTTTGAGAAAGACTGCAAAAAGGAAAGTTGTAGGACTGGAGAAACATGAGGGAAGAAAATGGAAACTATTTATTTAGTAACTTGTGTATTTGGGCTTTCACACTGCTTCAGTCCCAAAGCTCTAAGCAACTTATTTCATTATTTACTTAAGAGAATAGTGTAATAGGCTGTGTAAGAGAAAATAATAATTGTTTCAGATGTCCAGATCACATTAAGTTTCTGCAGTTTGGCCTGACCCTGTTTGTCTTAGGCTGGCTATAGTACCACCAGTCCCATGTGCTATGTTTGCCTTTGAAGTTATGTGGGAATACATGATGAGAAAATGTCTCTGTGAATAAGAGCAGCCAGCCATAGAAGTGGAAGGAAAAAGAGCCCCACCAGAGACAGTGATATGGAGGAACGGGGCAGCAGGGTGAGGCTAGAACTGGAAAGAAGAGGACAGGGAGGAAAGGAAAGAGGCTAAAGTGGACCTTTTGCTTATTCCTACCATGTTATTTTTGTGTAGAAACACCGCTGCCCAATGTGGAGGAATGCTATAAATATTTCTCTGAACTGATGTTCTGCCACTCCATTCGGGTGAGTGCGTGAATGCCAGGCAGGCCAAAAGTGACTTTATGTTGCCTTATCCACATACAAGTAGTCCTCACAACAATTCATTTAGTGACTTTTCAAATGGCACTGAAAAAAGTGATTTATGACCATTTTTCACATACAATTGTTGCATCATCCCTATGGTCACGTAATCAAAATTCAGAAGGTTAGCAACTGACTCCTATTTATGACTGTTGCAGTGTCCCTGGGTCATGTGATCACCTTTTGCAATCTTCTGACAAGCTGTCAAGGGGGATGCCAGATTCACTTAATAATTGTGTTACTAACTTAACAACTGCAGTGATTCACTTGACAACTGTGGCAAGGAAGGTCATAAAATGGGGTAAAATTCACTTAATGGTTGTCTCACCTAAGAACAGAAATTTGGGGCTCAATCATGGTCATAAGTCGAGGACTACCTGTGGTTTGCTTTCAATGAAGCTCCCCTGCAGAGAGCCTTCCTCTCCTCCCCTCTCCTTGCAGTGGTTCTATGGCTCCTATCCTTCTTTCTCTCTCTCTCTCAGAGGCCCCCCTTCAGCATCGATCTCTTCAGTCAGGACCAGCTGGTGCTCATAACCGATTACATGATTAACAGTTACTTCCGTCACTACAAACTTTACAAATACGCTTTCACCCCACAGGTAAGGCTGATTTCCTTTGGCCCAGGCAGTTCTAGGGAAAGGCTGGGGTTCTCTTGCCATTTTCCTGCAATGAGAAAAGAAGATCATCCCCTCTGGAAAACAGCCCAATTACAAAATGTGACCTCTGAAATTGTTTGGCTACTCCTGAGAATTTTATTGCCACAAGAGGGAGCAGCATCTTTATGAAGGGAGCATACTAAACATAGAGGCTCAAGAAGGTGAAATCCAAATATTAGTCCATCACTCTGGGCTTACATCCCTGATTGTGTTTTAAATCAATAGGTGCGGCTAGACATCTCATTCACTTACGTTGGGATGCCTGAACCAGAATCCAAAGAGGACGGTGAGTGTTGAGGAGGGCTAGAATTCTTTTGTAACTCACTTTTGAAGTTCTACTATACATTGATCCGTTCCTTTTTTTAATTGGGAGGATGAAGAAAAAGGAATGGAACAGGATGGGAATCTTCCTCCCAGATCGAATAGAGCTAAAGCTAGTGATAATCAGATTGGAAAGGTGGTTTAAGACAGCTTTCCCCCAGTCTGATGCCCTCCAGATATGGCTGGCTTACTGATCCTTCTCAATGCAACTGGGCATTGTAGTCTAGGGGGCAAGATAAACTATTGTGTTTTTCAACTTGAAGACTGGTGGACTTCAATTCCCAGAATTCACCAGCAGCCATAGCTTTCTGGGAGTCGAAGTCCACCCGTCCTCAAGTTGCCAAGATTGAAAAACGCCTAAGTAATACATCATCCCCCAAATCTGTGGATCTGAAAACATACCAAGTTGCATGACATGGGCTTAGGCCATTGGCCAGTCTAGCTATTAGTTATCTCCCTCCTCAAAGAGGCTTTCAGATTGGAGATGGTCTCTTTCTCAACTCCATCAGTTTGAGATCCGTCCACTAGGGAAGGAATCTTGGACCTTGGATGTGCAAGGTGGATATGCTGCAATTGTGGCCTTTCTTCCTTTCAGGAGCGAAATTCGCAGGCATCGAAGGGGCCAACACTTGCTAATAGCCCTCCTTCCAAAGCTTGGCTTACCTAAAATGTGTTAGCTTATATCAACCAATCACGCAAAATAATAATTTATTAAAAATGAGAGCATTATCTGATCACTCTTCTTCTTCTAGGGCTGCTAAAAGATTTAGCGTCTTTCTCTTTTCTACAGAAGCTATGGCCGAGAGTACAGAAACAGGACTATCTTCTTTGCGTGAGGAATTGGAGGAAGCTGGGGCCCCTGAGGAAAGTAAGTGTCCACAGGGGCTTGAAGCTGGTATGGTGTATGGGTTTCAGAGGCAAACAATCAACAGCTCCATAAATCGTCCCTTTGCCATTAATAGCCATTCTCTTTTAGCCTTAGGAGGGATAATAGTTCTCTATCAGATAAATTACAAGTGCTAACTAATACATGACGTTTGGCAGTGAGGGGCCTGAAGCCTGATAGCAGTGCTTCTCTTGGGTTGCTTATTAGCAATAGGAATAGCACTTATATACCATTTCATATATTGCTTTACAGACCTCTCTAAGCAGTTTACAGTCAGCCTCTTGCCCCCAACAATCATTTACCCACCTCAAGGATGGAAGGCTGAATCAACCTTGAGTCAGTCAGGATCGAACTCCTGGCAGTCAGCAGAATTAGCCTGCAATACTGCATTCTAAGCACTTCCCCACTAGGTTACCTTTGTTAGAATTACAATTCACTGCTTCACCCATTTACAGGTCCCACGACTGCCCTGAGAGACTTCATCGTATCACAACTCAATCAGGAGTTAACCCAGCTGCGCCATTCCATCGACCAGCGTCTAAAAGTCACAGAGGACCAGTTTAATGCCAAACTGATCCAGCTGGAGAAAGGTTCTGCTGCCAGCAAGGGGATTGCCAAGGGCAAGAAGAAGTAAGCAGACGAGAAAGGTTGGAGTGCAAGAGGACCATTTCCTGTCCCAGGGTTGTTTCTTCATTTCTGAGGCTTCTGCAAAAAGGGGTCGTCCAGAGAGCAAGAGAAAACACGAAGGGAATGGCAGTTAAAATAGGGGAAGCAGATGGAAAATCTGCTTTGGAAAATGTGATAAGGGTTTACGGAAAATCTCTTCTGGGTAAAGTCATATACTCACAGAAGGAACTGTTGTATAAAGCAGACTGTGTTGTGATATTAAAGTGTGGGTAAAATATTGTCTACTGTTCGTTATTTGTTTCTAGCTCAAAAATAGCAGCATTATCAAGATCAAAAGCCAATCTGAATGTAGGTGATTCTCCATTTACATCCACAATTGAGCCCAAAATTTCTATTGCTAAGCACAGCAGTTGTTGAGTGAGTTTTGCCCCATTTTATGTCCTTTTTTGCCACAGTTGTTAAACAAGCCTGCCTCTCCCCTCCTCCTCAGCTTTGCTTGCTGGAAGCCAGCTGGGAAGGTTACAAATGGTGATCACATCACCCCAGGATGCTTCAACTGTCAAAAATACATGTCAGTTGGCAAGCGTCTAAATTTTGATCACATAACTGTGTGGATGGTGCAATGGTTGTAAATGTGAAACTGGTCAAAAGTCATTTTTTTCCTTTTAATGGTGAATAAATAAATGCTTCTAAGTTGAGGAACATTTTTAAGGATTTAATGAAACCAAATGAATCAAGTCATTCCAATATGATTAGTTCCCATATTTAATAGAGAAAAAAACCTAGATTATCAATTTGGTGGTATACAGGTAGCCTCGACTTACAACAGTTCATTCAGTGACCATGCAAAGTTACAACAGCACTGAAAAAAGTGACTTATGATCCTTTTTCGCACTTATGACCATTGCAGCATCCCCAGGGTCATGTGATTTATATTCAGATGCTTGGCAAGTGACTCATATTTATGACAGTGTTGTGGCCCACCAGCAGACCTGGCAGCAGATTTGGACAGTGAGGAGGTTGGGGAAGAACATGGCCAGTTTTGGATTCTGGGGAAGGCTCTGATGAGTTATCAGCTGCCTTCAAAACCAGACATTAGTGAGGTAGAGAAACAGCTGGAGCCTGTTCCCAGTGTGCACATGCGCAGAAGGGAACAGCTAAAGAACAGGGTGGGAGTAAGGCCACAGGTGGATGATGAATGGCCCCTCCCAGAGGAAATAAAAGAGGAGCGAAAGGGGAGTGGAGTTTGCAGGAGACAATTAGTTTGCTTAATTGGTTCCTGACTCCTTGCCAAGGTTTGCAGATAACAGCCTGTCAACTCTCCAAGCCAGATAAGGTCCGTGACTATAAATTCTCCCTTGAAAGACTTCGCTTGATGTGAAGGAGCAAAATTCATAGTAAATAAATAAAAGGGGTTCTTGTCGGGACCAGAAGTTGGCTTCAGCTCTTGGGAAGCCTCAGTCAGAACAGTCGGTTACAGTGTCCTGCGTTCACATGATCCCTTTGTGCAGCCTTCTGACAAGCAAAGTCCATGGGGAATCCACATTCACTTAACAACTGTGTTACTAATTTAACCCCAGCAATGATTCAGTTAGCAAATATGGCAAGTTGTAAAATGGGATAAAATTTTTCACTTAGCAACATAAATTGTGGGCTCAACTCTGATCGTAAATCGAGGATTATCTGTAAAGTGCTGGACTAGAAATAGGAGAGCTTGGATTCTAATCTGTCAGGCAGGAAAAGAGGCTCACACACTCTTAGCCCAACCTACCTCATATAATGTGGCTCTTGTGAAAGAAACAGGAAGTGAGAGCGTTATCAATGCTTCCTTGAGTTGCACAAGATAGGCAGGATATAAATAAATACGTTCAGGTGTTGGAAAGATTCTGGGGAGCCTCGTGCCTCAATCTGAGCACTCCTGGCCAACATAATGTAACTTGGCTGGGCAAACAGAAATATTTCTTTAATTAGAAGCTTTGACTGGAATACAACACTGCCAACTAGACTCCCGTGAACCTGGGTACGGTTGTTTTGGGCAAACCTTCCCTCATCCTAGCCCAGTTCCACCCATTCTGCCATTGTGGCCTAAATGTTTTTTTCCTGGGACATGCCAGATTCCAGCTGCATCATTCCCTCCACTTTGGGCACAGTGCTTGGGAATTTCTGGGACCTGGGGAAGACATGTCTGGCAAGGCCTCTGTTTCAGTATAAATTATTATGAATTCCTCCTCCAAACCTTACAACGAAAAGGAAGCCCAACTCTGAAGACACCTGCGATCATATTTCACTTTTATTATAGTTGTCCAATTGTAAGGTGGGGGATGACAGGAAACAAACAACAACAAGCAGATCAGCAAAAAAGCCACGTCCACTACTTGATTGCAGCAAGGAGGAGAGATGCAAAATCTGATCCCATACTTGATCTCCAATACTGTCCAAATCTAAAGACACAGATTGTTCCCTCAGCAGAAGGGATTCCAGTGATGGATGAGGCCCCCGGACAGTCCTTACTGCGCAAAGGGTTTTGTCAGGGGCTCCTGGTCTTGCAGAAGAAGCAGATTGCTCTCCCCTGTCCCTCCTTTTGGACCAACACCATCAGTGTGACATCAACCCTACCCAAATCCAGAACAACCTTCCAGGTACAATCAGGGAATCCTGTCCCATCAACCCAAAATTCAAGATTCCCCGGGTTCTTGTTCCCTAGAAAGTCTCTTCCGTGCACAAGGAACCCAAAGGAGGACTTTAGCCATTGGCTGTCCTCTCCCCATGGGGGCAAGGATGAGATTCAGTTCTGTGAAACCCCCCTGCCCCCTCAACACCCCTCACCCACTCCTGTTTCACAGGGGCTCGAAGGTGTCTTTCTGGCAGAAGGGCTCTTCCGAGGGCGGGGCCTCCTCTCCTTCCGTGTTTAGCAAGACCATCTGGATGGCCTTGGGGACATTTTCGAAGAGGGCGGCCCGGTTCTGTTGTTCACCCTTCTTGACCCAGTGGCCGTAGATTCGGAAGGCACAAGCGTCAATCAGCTTGCGCACCCCCTTGAGGGCATAGGGGTCGCACAGCAGCAGCTCCTTCGTGACCGGGCGCACCCGGCGGTAGCTGGAATAGATGCGGATGGAAGCCCGAACTGTCCACACAATGACCTGCCATGGGGGAGAAAGAGGAAGACGTCACAAATACAGGCCACAAGTCGGAGAGAAGGCGGCGAGGAGGTTTATAAGTCATCTCCCCCCTACTAGTGGTACAGGAAGTCCTCAGCTTAAAAAGTTCATTAAGCACCCCTCTGAAATTACAACATCACTGGGGGGGGGGGGAAGTGGCAGGATCGTTTTTTTTACACTTACAACCATTGCAATATCCCCCCCCCCGGTCACGTGATCAAAATTCGGACCCTTGGCCACTGGTTCATATTCATGACCGTTGCCGTATCCTCGGATCATGTGATCCACTTTTGCAACCTTCTGGCAAGCAAAGTCAACGGGGGAGCCCGATTCACTTAACAACTGGGTTACTAGCTGAACAACTGCAGTGATTCACTTGACAACAAGCAGGGCAAGATTTCACATCACAACTGTTTCACTTAGTGACAGAAGTTTTGGGCTTGACTGTGGCCGTAGGTTGAGGATTACTTGTAGTGCTTCAGGGTATTTGTAGAGGCCTTTGCTCTCCTGCAGTGATTCTCAACAAGCTGGAGACGTGTGGACTTCAAGTCCCATAATTCCCCAGCCAGCATATATATACCTTCCACTCTGCTGAGACTGAGAAATGGTGCTTTAGAGAGAGAGAGACACTGAGTGCTGGATCTGGAACTTTCTGCATCCAAAGCATGTTCCTTTTGACATTTTTATTTTATTTTAAAAGGAATGGAGTCTAGAACACAGTTCCCCAACCATTCCGGGTTGGTGGCCTGGAGTGGGAAGAGGAGACGGTTTTGTGGAAGGGACTGGCTCATGTGACTGTGCACGTGACCTTTTAAGAGGCATGGACTTCAACTTCCAGTATCCCCCCAGCCACCCAACTTTTTTTTTTAAAGCCTCACAAAGTGAGCCATTTTGAAATGTCTCCCACACTCAGAAGTGTTAAAAGCAGACATCCTCAAAAAAAGCCATGTTTGGCTTTCACTTCGACCCAAAACCATTTTATTTTTGCTTCTGGAACGCTAAAAAACACCTGTTTTGTAGTCAATACAAAATACCCTTTTGGGAATGAAGAATGGAATAAAGACGACTTAATGAATACCATGTATTATTCTTATCTATTTGTCATTAAATGAAGTAAGAATACTGCCACTTACTCTGAACTTATGGAAGGGACTGAAATGCCGCTGCTCCTTTCCGTAGCGCTGGAAAAAGGGGTGCTGCAGCGCCTCCTCAGCGCTCAGCCTTTCCACGGGATCTACTTTCAGCAGTCGGCAGATCTGCCAAAGGAAAGAAAGGAGGGGCAGGGAGTTTCCTAAGAATCATTCTGGGGAAAGAGGATTGCTGATGGATTCTGACATGGAAAAGAGGAACTGAGAAACAACCTCATGGTCTAAACATGTATTGATTTGATTTCTCCCCAATCCCACCCTTCTGTCTGTCAGGCTAGGCAGGCCAACATGATCCACAAAAAATACAGATAGTCTTCGACTTACGACCAAAACGAAGCCAACCCATTACAATCATAAGTCGCGACAGTCATAAAGTTAGTCACTGCACAACTGGACCCCTTTTTATGACATTTTGACGGCAGTCCTGAAATCAACCACTATGGTTGTAAAGCAAACCAATGGCCGTTTTTGCCAAAAACTGGAAGTGCTGGGTTTTGCCCAAAAACTGTAGTGTGGTCAGGTGACCTTGGGACAATGCAAATGGCCACAAATGCAACTGGTTGCCAAGTACCTGAATGCCGTCACATGACCAGCTTGGGGTTGGGGGGGAAGGCTGGCTTTGGTACTTCAGAACCGGGATCTAAGTACCTTTGGGGGTCCATCATAACTTCAAAACAATATTAAGTGACCAGTCGCAAATCATGGATAACTCTGTAGAGCAGAGTTCTCCAACCATTCTGGTTTGGTGGGCGGAGGGGCAGGAGAATTTATGTGCGCCTGCGAACAAGGCAGCACAAGATCACATGAATGGGGTTGCAACATCACGCAAATGAGACCATGAATGTGTGCGGGATGCAAACAGGTACGCATGTGCGATGCTCATTGCAACGCCAGCACCAGTTGTGATGCTCACTGCAGTGCTAGCACAAGTGGGAGGGGTGTGGTTAACTGATTAGCCATCCATGTGTCCCGGTTGCCAACAGGCCACAGCCCGGGAGTGGGCCTTGGCCCACAGGTTGGGGGCCCCTGGTGTAGAGTTTGGGATGGCAAAGCCCCCTCCAGCTTGACAAGCTCCAACGTGGAAGAGCTGCAGCCTTTTCATTTCTCTCCATTACCCCGCGAGGCCCAATGATGCTGCTGCCTTCTTACCAAATCCTTGACTGTGTCGGATCGGTCATCCCACTCTGGAGAACCAAAGTGATACCGGCCTTCCATGATCATCCGAAGCATCAACATCTGTTTGCGGTGCCAGAAAGGGGGAGAGCCGGCCAGGAGGGTGAAAAAGATAACGCCACAGGCCCAGCTGCAGGGAAGGAACATTAAGTAGAGAATATTTGTAACTCAGGATTGGGCTGTGAAGGATGTGTCTCTGTGTTTTTATTTTTATAGTTATAATGTACACTGAAGATGGCATTTAGTTTAACTGTACGAAGTGCAGTGACAATAAAGTAAAGTAAACTTTAACTATGGAGTTTTTGGTGCTCTCTGAGCTCGGTTGTTTCCTTGCAGATGTTTCATTACCCAATTAATCACTAGTGCAATCGAACAGTAAACAACAGCCTAATCAAGGAACCATCAAAAACACTCCCAACAACCGTGACAGGGCAAGTCACCGGTGTATAAACGAACTCCACTCCCTTGTAGCACTGATGATGTCACTTTTTGGGGTAATGAGGCATCTGCAAGAAAACAAACAACCTCAGGGAGCACCAAGGACCTCAAAAGGAGAAGATTATTTTCGGATGCCTCACTCCACCTTGGCTGGCAGGTGAGGACAATCGTAGTCCAGGATGTCTGATGCTCAAAAGGTTGGGGAAGGTTCCCTGACCCCATCCCATTCCCTAAGTATAACTTACAGATCCACCTCCTTCCCATAACCAGGGTGAGTCTCGTCCATAGAACATTTCAATATTTCTGGTGCCAGATAGCCTGGGGTACCGCATAGTTCTGCAGGGAAGAGTCAACAGATTCAGAGAACTTCAGAGAAATGCAAATTGGGAGACCTTTTCAGAACAAGAAAGGTGGATTGAATAGCCTACGAAAAGACGCTGCGAGCTGAGCTTTCCTGCCTGCCCTGTGCCTTAACAGAAAACTGCTCCATGGGGAGCAGTTGGAAAGGCCTCCCCAAAGAAACGGCACCGGAGGGGACCCCACACCACACCTCGAAGTTTCTCTCCCGGCTTCAAATGGCAAGAGAAGCCAAAATCAGACAGTTTGATGCTAAGATCGTCGTTCATCAGGATGTTCTCCGGTTTGAGGTCGCGATGGACGATATGGTTCTCATGAAGGTAGTTTACGGCCTCCAGGAGGGCACGCATGATGCACCTGAAAGAAGGCAACACAGAGGCCGTGGCTGATGCAAGGACCAGGCCTTGACGCCTTTCGCAATCTAGGCCCAACAGTGGACTTTCGGTTTACCTGGTCTCTTTTTCACTGATGGTTACTTTCTCCGTAAGATAGTCAAAAAGCTCACCACGTCTCATTCTGCAAGGAAAATTAAGAGTCTGAAAGCAGAATGCTCTCTTTCTTGCATTTACTTGTTTTATTTAGTGTATGGCTCTCTTTCTCATAATTATAATTTAAAGTAGGGTTATATTGGCAGCTTTAAGCTTTGCGGACTTCACTCCCAGAATTCCCCAGCCAGCGTATCATTTTATTTCCCACCCATTTTCAAACGTTGGTTACTTACAAATCAAAGACTAGGAACATGAAAGTAGATGTCTCATAGGAATCTATCAGCGTGACTGGAGAAAAAAGAAGAATGGTCACTTAGGTCATAATTGCTTCAGTGTTTATAAAATGACACTTGTATCTAATGGCAGAATAAAAAGACAGGCAGTCCTCAATTAATCACCGCAATTGAGGCCAGAATTTTGGTTGCAAGCCATTGCGGTCATTAAGCAGGTAACCTTGTGACCTGATTTGGTTTTATGACTGCTTACATGATCTCTTTACAAGCCAGTTGGGTAATTTTGGGCTAATCGCCAGTAGACTGAGCTCTAGTCCCAGAGGAGGGGTGCTGCCACTTCGGACCGCTTCAGGTGAACTGGTAGTTCTGACCAATGTTGGAACAAGAAAACACTATGCAGAAGTTTCAAACAGCCCCACAGTATTTTTTAATGTCTTAAAATATGACTGAAAATATCCCCCCATTCCTTCCTGCTCTCTCTGCACTGAACTCTCTCCTCCATCTGGTAATTGGTGAAATCAAGGAAGACTCTGCCCAGAGACCGATGACGCTGCAGAAGGGAGAATTCCCATTGGTCCCCTGGGGCTTCGTCGGTTCCTAGGAAAACGTGATTCGCTGGTTGTAGCCGGCGTTTCTCTGCACATCCAGGGTTTCTCAGGCATTGCGTTGTCGGAAGCCCTGTTCTGGGCTCCTCAGTCTTTCTGCAATCCCTTCGCTTTGCGGAGAGAGGAAAGCAGCATGGAGTTGGACTGCCTGAGCCAAAGGGGTCCATGGGATCTTGAGACTTGATTTTTGAGCAGTACCAATCCATTCCACTCTTTCCTTTCCCTTTCTCTCCTTCTATCTTCCATTCCTTTGACTTTTCCTTTCCTTATTTCCTTTCCTTGCCTTTTCTTCTTTCCCATTTCCTTTCCTTTCCCTCCCCCTTCCTTCCCTCCCTTCCTTCCTGGGGGTCTGAGGGAGAGGACCCTTTTCCTCCTTGCCCCACTCCCCAACATCTGCTCTGAAAGCAATTATGACTAAAAAAAGAAAAATCAGGTGCTCAGGCATGAAAATGCTCAAACACCATGCTTTTCTGCACACACTGAAGAGAAATTAGAGGGAACATTGGTTCCAACCACCGGATGGGCACGCCCACCCGCACCAACCTCTCCTATTTATCTCAAGCTCTGGCTTTGTTCCCCCACCACGAAGCCGAGCTGATTGCCGTGCCTCACCTGGTCTACTCACCACGGCTGCCTGAGGTGGTTTGCTGTGTGTTTGAAGCCGCGCGAAGGTGAGGAAGGCGTATGTGCATTTCCAGTGAACCAGTTGTTAACATATGTGCAGCCCACCTGCCTACCTAGTCCTCTCCTAGGCATGAATACTGGTTGGGTGACTTTGGGCCAGCCATTCTCCCTCACCTCTACCCACTTCACTGGATTGTTGTCAGGGAGGGAAATAGGAGTAGTAAGTAGTACAAGCAGTCCTTAACTTACAACCACTATTGAGTCCAAAATGTATGTTTCTAAGTGAGACATTTCTTATGTGAATTTTGCCCCATTGTTAAGTTACTAACCCAGTTGTTAAGTGAACCTGGCTCTCCCACTGACTTTGCTTGTCAGAAGATTGCAAAAGGTGATCGCGTGACCCCAGGACACTGCAACCTTCACAAATATGAGTCAGTTGTCAAACATCTGGATTTTGATCATGCGACCGTGGGGAGGCAAAGCAGTCATAAAATGCGAAAAATGGTCATAAGTCACTTGTTTCAGGGCCCTTTGTAACTTTGAACGGTGAAAGCAAATAAATAAAATAAATCTGCAGGACAGAGGAGGGTGCTGAGAGGATGCAGGTGGTACAGCCACACTTACTGATGAATGGGTGACCGGACACCTGGTGCAGGATGGCAATCTCTTTGCTGGTTGACAAGCGCACTTCTTCCAGCTGCTGGGGAGTCATGCGCTCCGGGGTTACCTCAATGATCTTCACTGCAAACTCCTGTCCTGTCTGCTTGTGAATACATCGCCGGACCACGCTGCTAACCCCTCTGTGAGTGGGATGAGCAGACGATGTGCAGAAAAATCAATTTTCCAGAAAAACTAATGTGTCCCAGTGTGGGAAAATAAACTGAGATACTTCCACCCCTCCAAGTCCTTCCGTTGCATCCCTTCTAGCCTCACCTGCCAATAACGTCCTTGGGGTCATATTTTTGGTAGAATTCCTTGGCTCCAGCCCAGTCTGGAAGCTCGTCATCCAGGCCCACGTCTCGTGTCATTGTGCTGGAGGCTTGGTAAACCACAGGTGCCGATTCAGATTCTGAAATGCACAAAGAGGCAAAGGGAAACCTGTCAAAGGTACTTTCTGGACGCGGATGCTCCCTCATCTCCATGCACAAGTCTAAGAAGAGACCTAAGTGGGAAAATCAACCTACGTGATGTCCTCAGGCCGAGACATTCCAATGCACACATGGCTTTCTTGGTGGACTTCTTGGAAGAGACAAAGGAAAAGGACTTAATTGGACTGAAGAGACTAACCCCCTTTCTAAAAAAAAATTATTCAGTGGCAGGATGGATTTTAAGACATAGGGAACTACCCCAAGGAGCTCTCCCCTACAGTCAAACAGAGCTGTGATTCCTCATTTGGATCTATTAACAAATAAACAATCTATCAATTAACATTTTGCACCTTTGTGCTACAATGGGTGTAGCAAATCAGGGCAAAAATGCCACAAAGATTTGACACACACGCCATATATAGTATAAGAAATAATGGGATTAGAGGCATGACCAAGCAAAGATATCTCCTTGGAATATCCCATTAAAATATTCCAAATATGTATCAGCCTCTAAAAGGTAAAGGTTCCTCTTGCACATATGTGCTAGTCGTTCTCGACTCTAGGTGGCAGTGCTCATTTCAAAGCCAAAGAGGCAGCACTGTCCGAAGATGTCTCCGTGGTCATGTGGCCAGCATGACTAAACGTTGAAGGCGCACGGAACGCTGTTACCTTCCCACCAAAGGTGGTTCCTATTTTTCTACTTGCATTTTACATGCTTTCAAACTGCTAGGTTGGCAGAAGCTGGGACAAGTAATGGGAGCTCACTCCGATATGCAGCACTAGGGATTCGAGCAGTCAAACTGCCGACCTTTCTTATCGACAAACTCAGCGTCTTAGGCACTGAGCCACTACAATTCCACATTTTGCCCAGAGTCATACCTTCTTCCTAATGTCTGCTTTTCCATCCCACTAAAATTATGTCTAAACCTCTAAAAAGTCATATCATTTTAGCTTCATCACAATTTTAGAATTGGAATCTAGATCTCCCCTCAATAAAGATGTAAATCTTGCAATGTTTCCTTAGGAGTATAAATGTCATTAAACTTAAATGAAATGGGGGTTTTCCCCAAGAAAAGATGCATAAACCTGACAATATTGTCCAATGAGAGATCTTTGGTGCTCTCTGACCTTAGTTGTTTTGTTGCAGACATTTCATTACCCAAACTAGATAATACTACAGTAGCACTGATAATGTTATGTAATTTGGGTAATGAAACATCTGCAAGAAAACAAGCAAGTTCAGAGACCACCAAGGATTCCTCATTTCAACCCTGAGTTACAAATATTCTCCTTTATAAGTTATTTCTAATAGCATGGTAAATCAAATTGGCTCAGAGAGCGTTCTACTTACTACGATAGCTTTCTCAACTTCACGCCCTCTGGAACTCATAACTGTCGAATACAAATATCTGTTTGTCACATTTGCTAAGAAATTACATGAGCGGTAATCCAAAATTTCCAAATGATACCAGGAAAAAAGGGAAGGCATTCGTTGGTTGTGTTGCTGAATCTACAGGCTGAAATTCTCCACAATTTAATATTAAAGGGTATTAAGAAGGGCATCTCCTATCTTTAAGCACTATTGATGTGTTTGGTTTTTAAAAAACCGATAGCAAGAAACCTGGTTTACGAATCTGGATTCAGTACATGAAAATCTACATGATTTTATCTAGAGCAGTGGTTCTCAACCTTTTTTTGGCCATGCCCATCTTTAAAATCCTGATGCCCCTCCCCCTATAATTCTTACTTTCCTCAAAAAGTGAACTCTACTCATGCAGAGGAAGCTTAAAAGGCCATTAATTTGGTTTAAACAAGGTTAAAATTGCCAGCATTGAAAATTAAATTCCCCCTCCCCTGTGGGGCCCACATTGGGAACCGCTGGCCTAGAGTATATCATCCATTTCTATGCCTTATCACAGAAAGAGAGCGGGGAGAGAGATGGAGGGAGGGGGAGAATGGGGTGTAAGGGAGGACGGAAGGGGGAAATGGTGGCGTGGGAGAGGGGGGAAGGGGAATGGAAGGAGGGGGAGAGGGAGGGAGGAGGAAATGGAGGAGTGGGAAGGGGAATGGAAGGAGGGGGAGGGAGGGGTGTGGGTAAGGGAGAAGGGAAAGGAGGGAGCGAGGAGGAAAGGAAGGAGAGGGAGACGGGGGGGGGAGGGATACCTGCATACTTATCCCTGCACTTGGCCCTTGTTTCCTGAACATACTTAGAATACCGGCCTACCTTCCAAGGTTGTTGCAATTACTCAGAAATCAAGGAGCCAGGCGCGAAGCCTTCAAACGCAGCGTCCTAAGGACAAAACACAGAAAACGCCCATGAGATTACAAGAACGGGCTCTGCGGCGAAAGCTTCATCTTCCATCCCTCTCCCCCCCCCACCACCACCGCCAACATTTGCTAGGCCACGAGGAGAAATGCACTCTGCGCGTTCTCAGGAACTACACGCTTTGCATTTTAGGTCCGTGGCCTAGCAGCAAGAGGGGGGGGGGAGAAATTCCGGGGTTGAGCGGTTCCGAGTCCCACGACGCCCACCCCACCATTACCCGCCTCTCCCGGCCCATAAGCCCGGTCCGCTTACCTTCTCTCGGCCTCTCTTTTTGCAGGGGGGGCCTTTGGTCTCTCGTTATGCAACGTGCTCCCGCAGGAAGAGACGCCCCCAGAGGCTCACCTGGCGGCGCCCTCGCTTTAATTGAGTGAATGACACCCCCCCACGACCACAGCCGGCGACTTCCCGGGCCCCGCCCCTTCGATGGGATTGGTTCGCGTTCCCTTCAATGCGGCGGGGTGTGACCAGAGCGACCAACCGGACTGGCGAGAGCGGCGCCCAATGGCCAGACGAAACAGAGAGCGAAGGGAGGCGGGCTTGTCTAACGGCAGAAGCCAATCAAATGAAGAAGAAAAAGAAAAAAGAAGAAATGGAAGGGCGAGGATTAAAAAGGAGAAGCGCTGTTTCCTACCCCACCCTACCGACGAGAGGAAGTTCATCCAATGAGAATGGAAAGGTTGTTAAGGTGTCAGGAGGATGAACCAATCGACTGCTGGGATTTGGATAAGGGAGGGAGAGGCGGCGCGGCCCGGTAAACAAACTTTGGGTGAAGCTTAGCCAATCGGGAAAGGGAAGGGGCGAGTGCCAGGTGAAAGGGTTATTCTAGGTTTCACGGTCGCCAAAGGAAAGGTCGAGAGGCCGGAGGGGGGGGGGGATTCTTCCACGCCTTTCTTCCAGGCTTGGTCACGTAATCACACAGGGCAGTGTTATTACGCGCAATCAGTGATGGGATTCAAATAATAACCGTTTTTTTGCTCTAATGACCAGCTGGGTGAGTGTGACTAGGTGGGCTTGATTGGTCTCACCCTTAGGAAAATGTTCCTTACTCCAACTCACAATAAAATAGCACTGTTCCAATAGTGCGAGTACAATAGAATAACAGGGTTGGGGGGACCTTGGAGGTCTTCTAGTCCAAGCCCCTGCTTAGGCAGGAAGCTCTACACCACTTCAGACAAATGATGGCTATCCAACATCTTCTTAAAAACCTCCAGTGTTGGAGCATTCACAACTTCTGGAGGCAAGTAATTCCACTAATTGTTCTGTCGGGAAATGTGAGGGGCTCCTACAAAAACGAGGGAGTCAAATCTATTTTCTGCAAAGCACCAAAAGACACGAAACAACGATTGAAACTAACCAAAGAGAGAAGCAACTTAGGACTAAGGAGAAATTTCCTAAGGGTGAGACCAAATCGATCAATGGAATAGCTTTGCCTTCAGAAGTTGTGGGTGCTCCGTCACTAGAAGCTTTAGGAAGTACACCCCAAAGGACAATGCCCTTAAACCAATGTAGAAAACTTAAAACAGCCATTCCCCTTTAAAAAAAAAAAGTCAGAACCCCAAAAAGTCAAAAGCAAATGCACCAGCTGAGAGAAACAGAGCAGCTGCTCATGCTAATTGAAAGCTGGGCATGTTGCCAAAAGCCATTAACCCTTCCAACTCTATTATTATGTTAGCTATATTCTAAATTGGGTGCTTTGCAGTAGAAGCAATACAGCTTACTGGACCACACATGCATTAAACTTGCAGCCTGTATGATCAATCTGCATCATTGTCCCCTCCTGTATCTTCCCCCCACCCCCCAGGAAGAAACAAGCAGTAGCCAACATTGCAGCAGCTATAAAAGGTCTTGGGAAACTCCAGGGAGTATCAGCAGACCACAGAAGTGTTAACTTAATACCATTTAGAATGAACATGTTTGTAATCTTGTACTTCCCATCTCTAGATGGGTGATTGATGGGTTTCCTGGGTATTTCCCTGACCTAACCCTGTCAGTTTCTATTGTTTATTGACTTTATTCAAGGTGTGTGCAGGCTGCATTCTAGCTTCAACTATTAAGTGGTTCTTGGAACTTTTAACTGAAGAGAGAAGAAGAAAAAAACGTTGCCATTTTTTAATCACTTTTCATCCAAAAGGGACTTCCACTTCCCACTTTTATTTGTACAACAACCCTCCAAGGTGGATCAGAACTAAGACTGAAGGACTGGTCTGAGGTCACCTGAGGGATCTTTATAGATGGGGCAGGATTTGAATCCAACTCTCCCCATGATCATTCTATGCTTTGATTCCACCTTGATGTTCACGCTGCCTTTTGTGCCCAGCCATGTTATCTACATTTCTTGCGTTGGATGAGGAGACAACATCTTTCTCCTTTTGGTCTTGGCTACTTTTTACAGAGATGCAATTGAGTGTGTTTTAACAAACTGCATCTGTTTGGTTTGGTGGCAACAGTGCCTCAGATAGAATGGAGCGTTGGTTCTTACCTGATATGCCCCTTCTCTGGGTGGGTGGAGACAGCAGTCATGCATGGGTTAACTCAGCCAGTAACCAATAGAACTGAGTCTACCAAAGTGATACCATCGCCTCTGAAGGGTGTCCTCCTGCTTTTTTTCTTTATATATATATATAAACGATTTTATTTGTTTTTGAACAAGGACAAACAAACATAAAAATTAAAAAAAACCCATCTTCCATTACAAATTGTAGAAAGTGTGTCAATTGGTTACAGTATTTCCATTCATCTCTTCCATGGTCACCACCTGCTTTTCATATCAAATCACATATTTTAAATTCACCCATATTCATGTATATCACAATTATTATATCTCAACCTTAATTTGACTATAATTGTTCTTACATCCTTTTATATATATAATATTCAAAATCTAGAATAGGATTATATAACATTCCATTAAATCATCCTAAAATCATCCAATCACATCTTTATAACATATTCTAGATAAAGCTTTTAAACCTCCTCTCATAAACTCCATATGTTGTTTATATAAAATTTCATATTATCAAACTACTATATGTATTGTTATCATTATTAATAATTATTTAACTATAGCTATTGTCACTTCATTTTATACATACTATTAGTAAACTAAATTTAGCTTAACTTTTATTATACATTTTCATTGCATCAATCTGTGTCCCTCCAGCAATAGTACGGTCTTATATCTCTTGCCATTTGTAGCATTAATGTTCTAATTACTTTCTTAATAAATCTTGTATAAACCTCCCTTGGCAACATGCTGTTCCTTTCGTATCTCACAAAAGCTTGAAACCCAACATCTGCTCTTTCCATCAGCTTATCTTTGGTTATCGCTAATGCTTCTATCAAGATTTCTCTTATCTCCGTCAATTTTTCTCTCTTTTCTTCTTCTGTGCTTTGAAGTCTGGGGTAGAGTTCCAATCCATCCATCTCCCCTTCCCATATTCCGCTCTTGCCATTACCAACCACGCTCACTTTGTTATCAGTATCCACTCTGTCCTCCACTGTCTTCATTTGGTAAACATCCTCAGATTCTCCATCAGATTCTTCTATTTTGTATTCCATATTCTCCAATCTCTTTTCAATTCTCTCTGTCACAACTAATTGATTTTGAATTTCAAACATAATCATTTGCAATGTTACAGTTTCTTTTTCCTGCTGGGCCATTTTTTCAATTTTGCAGATACTGCCATTATAGGGTTCAAGGCTACTTTAATAAACTTCGAACAGATTCATTTATTATCTTTCAAGTCAAAATGTTGTCTTCCCTCCAAAGCTAGTGATAGAACTTCCAAAGGGCACCTGTATAAACAACTTATGCTCTTCCTACTATCAGTCAGTAAACAAGCTGAAAGAACCTTGAATCTCAAGTGATCAAAGAGAAAGAAGAAAAAACAATGTATCCAGCCTCCAGCCTCTAAGTGGCAGTGTAACTGCTTTTCCTCCTGTTGTTACAACCCTCTTTCTAATCTTCTTATTTTCTTCTTTATATTCCAAACTTAAGAAAGAAATAAGTGAACTTATCTCCTTTGTCAAGACACTCCTCAGAGGCGATGACATTACTTTGGTAGACTCAGTTCTATTGGTTACTGGCTGAGTTAACCCATGCATGACCGCTGTCTCCACCAGCTTTGGAGAAAGTCCATACAGAGAGTGGTAAGGACAGCTGAGATCATCATAAGAAGCTCACTTCCTGATATTCAGGATGCTGCTTATAAGCCCTGTGCTTAGAGCTCAAAACATTGTTAGAGACCCCACACACCCACTTCACGGTCTGTTTCTGTTGTTCCACTCTGGAAGGAGGTTTTGAAGTATTTCTAACAGGAGTACAAGATTCTGTAACAGCTTTGTTCCCCTATGCCATCTAGTAAACTCGCAAGATTCAATTTTTCTCACCATGTACATGTATATATCCAAACTAGACTGTGTTGTTCTGCTGTGTCATATAATACATGTGGGTATATGCATAATTTTGTACTTATTTATTTGTTTTGTCATGTTTATGTAGTGTATATTGGAGGTGGTGACCCTTTGAGAGCTGTATGCAACATTTCATTTCATGTATGCCGTGTACATTCAAAGTGACAATAAAGTCATTCTAAGCCTAAGTTATTTGTGCCACCCACAAGAGATAAAAAGGAGATTACTGAAATAACCCCTCATTGGAGATACAGAGCTTTCTGCGCCCTCCATCAAAGGGAAACTACTTTTGGTAGAAAGGGGGAGGGATTCTTTGAGCCCAAATGAGATGGTTCGGCCTGAAGCACACAATAATTCAAATCATCTGTATGCCAAATAAATTTGATTTCCTTTTTTCCAAACTCACTCTTTCACTATCAGGGGTTTTCTACAATAGGTGTATATCTTTCCACCAGGGAAGAACATTTCATGAAACAGAAATAGAAATATTTCAATCAAGTACAGGTGCTTCTGAGAATTCCGCATCATGTGGAAATCCTGGCTAGGAATGATGCGAGGTGTAGTCCAACATGTAGAGTACATCAAATGGAGAAGTATGATAACAGATGGAATAAGCTAGGTGTCTTACGTCGAGCAGAATGAATCCTTCTACATTGTCTCAGGTGTGGGTTCCTGCCGGCATTACTACCGGTTCTGTGTGCATGCGCATTTGCACGTAAAAAGGTCTGTGCATGCGCACATTAAAAAAAAGGGGGGGGGATTACATTTTTTCGGTGAAGATTGTTCTGTGCAAGTGTAGAACAGAGAATCAAGATGCCGCCGCTGAGCATAAAACCTTCTTCACTGATTTGGCTCCATGGGCGGGGGAAATGGCGGGCCTCATTTTTTTTCTCCTGCAGACAATGGAACCCACCTCTGCTTGACTGCAGGAGAAAAAAAAATGGGGTCCGCCATTTTTCCCGCCCATGGAGCCAAATCAATGAAAAAAGTGCCACCACAAGAAATACTTCAGTGCTTGCTTGGACTTAATTCAACCAAAGAAACCACAATAGTCAACATGGATTCTGGAAGCCCAAAATCACCGAATGATGTGGCTCATCATTCTGCTTTCGCTATGAGGTAAGACATGAGGACTAGTAACATGGGGGTCAGAATAAGAAGGGAAACCCAGACAATGATACTCAGGCAAGACATAAGCTGAGATTTCCGAGCCCAGTGAAGCGCTGCATTCTGGCAATGGGTCTTTTGCTTCTCATTTGCCTATAAAGGAGCCAAAAAAAAATAGCTTTATTATTCGCTCTGCATGTAGATTAAAGACACCGGAAATCATTCGTTTTAAGGGAAATAAATTTCAGCCCGACTTTTCATACATTGTATACATTACCTGCTGAAATGCTTGATGTAGATTTCAGAATTCTTGACTTCTCTTCCCTAGAGAACTGCCATACTTGTACAACACACTGAATCACAAATAACCCATTCACACATCAGCTGACCATGTTGAGTCAGAGCCTATGCTTAGTTTAAGACTCCCTGTATCATCCGAATCAAAACATTGGATTCAGTCAGGGAATTTTCACTCAATTAACCATAGGTAACATGTCATGCTAATGTCCTTGGCCTGTATTTCTGCATATTGATCCTAAATCCAGAGTCCAGATGGGCAGACAAACCTAGATAGGGCAAGAAAGGAACTGGGCCTCCTTTTTTTCTCTCAGGTAAGACACCGAAATATGTTCCTATCTTGTTAGTTGCTTGGAAATATTTACAACTCCAGCTCTAAAGATTTGCATTCTACCCACTCAGTATCTTTAAAGTCGATTTCTCAAACACTTTCCATCTGTTTCTACCTGGCAAAGAGGCTGATGGGGACATTCCTACCATCTGAGCTCAACCAGCACATTCCTTTCCTGCAGGTGTTGCAGAAGAGCAGTGTTGGTCTAGGTAGCACCTTCTAACACTCACAAAGTTATTAAAAGGCCTAAGTTTTTGCAAGCTGCTCAGATAAAACGTGCAGGTTATTACACATTTTAAGTCAAGTTGAATTTTGATTGGGTAATGAGTTCCAATGAAAATTCAGATAATTCAGTTTTACCCAGTTTGGGGTAATTTATTCAGTTTGAGGCTAAACTATTGCAGCATTTCAATAGGGTTAGGCAAAAGGGGCTGGGTGAATAGGTTGGTTAGCCAGGTGCAAGTTAAATGTGAGACAGATTTCATGCAAACAATCCTCCCTTTTAAAGTTAAAATTATTTTTACAGGTCAAATGTAAACAGAGAAACAGAGAATCAGAGAAACAGAGGGTTGGAAGGGACTAGAGTCTTCTAGTACAATCCCCTGCCCAAAGCAGGCGGCCTTATACCAGTGACGGCTAACCTTTTCAGCACTGAGTGCAAAAACTGGAGCATGTGTGTGTATGCATGCATGTGCCAGAGCACCAGAACTGGAAGAGAATAGCTGGCTGGTGTGCGTGCGTGTGGCAGCCAACTGCTCTTCCGGGTTCCACTGCATGCCCGCCTGATGGACAGCTGGTCGGGCACACATGCGCACTGGCTAGCTGCTCTGGAAGACCAGCTGGTTGGAGTGCATGTGCACACCAGAACCTGGAAGAGAGCAGCTGGGCGGTGTGCATGCGCGCAACGGAACCCAGAAGAGCAGCTGGCAACGGTGTGAGTGTCCACTGAGGGCTCTGCACGCCACCTCTGGCAATTGTGCCATAGGTTCGCCATCACAGCCTTATACCATCCTGAATAAATGCATGCCCACTTTTTTCCACTGATTAATGGTTCTCACTGTCAGAAAAAAAATCTCCTTACTTTTAGATTGGATCTGTCTTTGATAAGTTTCACTTATCGAAACACTGCCTTATAACTTCCCACATTGTGAACTAATAAATAAATCTTGACCATCCAACAAAACACAATTTTTTCTCTTATTATGGAGAAGCATAAAAATTAGCAAGCTTGGAACTCCAGAGAGGTGTTAACAGATTGAACAGCCACTGAATATTTGCAGAGATTGAGAGGATTGGGGGGTGGGGGTGGGGGGAGACACACAATATTAAAAACAAAAATACTGAGAAAGAAGGGATGAGTCTACCTTGGCCTGACCAAATTCTGATTGACTGTTGAAGGACGTAATAGGAAACTGGGTGGAAAGAGAATTGCTTTGAAGGAGTTACCCAGAGTCACTTAGGCCAGATGGGTGGTATAGGAATTTAATAAATACTTAAATAAACTTCAAAAAAGAAACAACCAGACAGTAACGTTTTGTCATGGGTTCCACCACAAGGTTGATTTTTGCTTTTCTCCTGCCCTGAAGGAATATTTTGGCCATTGTCTTCCAGCCATAAAACACCCAAGCTGTTCAGTTCCATTTTCAATTCTTGTGAAATGACAATGTTATTGAATGTTCTCCCTTAAAAACATCCCTGAGGCTGTGCATTTTCAGGGCAGGATCAAGTACTGTGGCCCAAATCTTTTGCCAGGATTATAAACTTCTCTCTAGTTTTATAGGAAATCTTGTCCCCTGCAATTGGTTTGGCTTGTCCATTGATTAATCCTGGATAAGCCTTTAAGTTATTTTAGGACAAAAACAAGAGTCTTAAAAATTCATTTGTTTCTTCTAGCATTAGCTTTTCACAGCCCGCTTCATGAGAGGCCTCAGGTACCTTCCTTAGAAAAATATGGATCCATGCTTTTTTAACCTTACAGCCCATGGAATGCAACAGCTTTCCTCAGTTCTGGAATTTGACACTTTTGCAAAATATTGTTCAGGCTTTGCCGCCTGAAGGGAATTTTAATGAACGCCAGCTCTGGGATAGTTATTTTCCACATCTGCTTGAGGAATATCTTCTCCCACCATTCAAACCCCACTCTATTATCCTCAGTTATCAAGAGTTTTATAAGCCATACTTGGTATCTTGTGAAAAATCTCGTTTTTCTCAGCTTGGAGAAATGGAACATAATTCACTCCTTTCTCCTTTGGATGCAATTAGGTCTACTAGATGATTAGCCATCAACTTTAGCAAGAAGTCCTTGAAACCAAAATACCCCTTCTCTCTATGTGTCACTAGAGACACATCATAGGTGGTTTCATGGTGTCTGGGTTTTTCTTCTCTCTGGTAATGATGGCAACCAGGGGCAAAAATAATGAGGATAAGAACATTTTATTGGCGTAGGTTCTAAACACTTCTTTTTTTAGACCAGTACATATATTTGGGAAGGAAAGAGGATCATACTCTTAAATTAAATTATTAAATAAGAGAGGTATATAACACGATTTCCCGAAAATAAGACAGGGTTTTATTTTCTTTTGACCCCCCCCCCAAAAAATAAGCGCTTGCCCTTATTTTTGGGGAGGTCTTATTATTTTTGAGGTGCAGGAGGCCCCTTAAACTCAGTCTGCAGCCCATGGATCAACTGATCCAGAGAGGGGCAGACATTTTCTATCTGTTTATGGCATACTCTTTTCAGCCCTAGCATTGCTGGGCCTATTCTTTTTGCAGCCACCACTAAGAGAAAGGTCGCAGTAACTAAGGTTTGCGGGAATGGCCTCCGCGAGGCCGTTCTGTGTGGATGGCAGGTGCATGTGGGGCACGTGGGACATGCCCCCCCCTTTTATCCCCAGGAAATGGCGGGGACTGGCTGCACATGCATTTAAATATTTTAGGGGAGGGCTTATTTTCAGGAGAGGTCTTATTTTAGAGCATGCGCTCAAAAGCCAGATAGGACTTATTATCCAGGGAGGTCTTATTTTCAGGAAAACAGAGTATTACTTTTCTTAATCTCCAGGAATTATTTTCCCAAAGAAAACTGGACTCAATGTTGTTCTCTTTCTCGTTCAGGGAACACAAAACAGAGACATTAATTTTATCGCCACCTTCCCAGCCAGACTCTTCCATATGGGAAATCACTCACCTTGACTGCATAGATCAGAGCCACAACCCCAATGCACGAACAGCCACAGATGATGCTAGCTATGGCCAGGTTGCGCAATCTGCGGACATTCAAAGCAGGGGACTTGCCAGGGTTGTCACTCTCCAAGGTGTCTGGTCTTGCCATCCCTCTGCTCTCCCCCTCATTGAGGACCCCCATTTCTTCATCCATGACTCAAGGACACAACACCAGGTTGCTGAAGAAAAAACAAAAAAAGGCTAAAGAGAAGTTCCTCGAAGTTGGGCTCCAGCACGTGTCCGAAAACTCGGAAGAGTAAACCTCTGGTCCTGGTGACTGACCCAGATTGGATTCTGAAACATTATATTGGGACACGTATGTTCGCCTCCATTCATAAAAAGTCAAAAAACTAGATTCTTTTGCTGCTTCAATGGTTCACATTAACTACCCAAAGCATCAGGATATTACGGTAATCCAAGGTTGTGAGTCTAATTACAGAGGCCGGAAGTATGAATGTCTTCAATTCATTTGGAAGAGCCGATTTCCAACTCTGTGTCTTGGTGTGGCATGGAGAACAACCACATCATCTTGACATCCATCTTTTTTGAGCCAAGCTCTTGTCTCTCGAGTTGAGCCTGGGCAAATTGTCACAAAACCAGACAAGGCAGAACACTGCCAGACAGCCAGATTTTTTCACAAACTGAATCTACGAGATCAAGATCAAGAAAGCTTTTTGACTGGGTCCTTCATTCCAGAGGAATGAAGAGAACAGAAGAAAACAAGAAATGACTCACATCCGGCAGGACTTGCACCTCTCAATGTTCTTCTGAACACCTTTTTCCTGGTTTTCTCTGACTGTTATGTACTCACACGCCCACCAGTTTCGCCTATCTTGGGTTGGGTTCCTGCTGAACATGAAGTCATATTTAAAACATTCAGGTTGCGTTTGTGACCTCTTTTTACTTTCCTTTTTCCAACCCGTCTTCTGGGTGCTGCCGTTTTGGAAATCTCTGCTTGGCTATGCAAAAAGCTGAGTGAGAAAGACTTCTCGGCTGCCTTTAACTTATGATTGATGAAGCCTGGCAGATAAGACAGGGAATATTCTGAGGAATACCTCCTAGGCAGGGTGAGACAATGAAGAGGAAATCAGGTGGCTTAAGGAACAACAACTGGCTTGTTTAGCCAAGCTAGCTTAGCAAGAGCAATAGGGCATATTATATACTGCTTCATAGTACTTTGCAGCCCTCTCTAAGCTGTTTACATAGTCAGCATATTGCCCTCCCACAATTTGGCTTCTCATTTTACCATCCTCGGAAGGATGAAAGGCTTGAGCAGGTGAGGCTCAAACTCCTGGAATTAAGCCGCATTAGCCTGCAATACTACATTGTAAGCACTGCACCACGGTGGTTAGAATGCAATATTGCAGGCTAACTGTGCCCCACAGCCTGGAGTTCAATCCTGAAGGGGCTAAAGATTGACTGAGCCTTCCATCGTTCCAAATGGGTAAAATGAGGAACCAGATTGGTGGGCAGGGGGCAATATTCCAGTACCAATATTGTAAACTGCCCTATGTAGGACAGTATATACAAAGTCAAAGTGCTATTAATGGATGTTTCCTTTATTATTTCTCATCTTTCAGTGTTTATCGATGGAGGGTTCAATTCGCTTCATAAAGTACTCACCCTACTGCAGATTTGCTCAAATTCAAGTTCAAGTTGAAGAACAGAGAAAACTGAGGCAGGATACTTTTCTTTCTGGCTCCTTCCTTCTTAGCCTGGGACTTCCTCCTCTTTGGACAGTGCCACGAACATATTAAATTCCGTTCAACAATCCTTTGATAGACCCTTCTTTTCAAGCAAGTAGCAAGGTCAATGAGATGAAAAGGGAAACTAAACTGCAGCTTAGAAAAAGCTCCATCAAGGACACTCAACTGCAACTCTGGAGAATCACATCAGCTTCTGTCAAGTAATCCCTGCAGACCGAGGAACAGGTTTGCCTACATTCCTAAGCTAGCAACTACAAATCTTACAACAAAGCTATGCGCCAAATAATTTGCTTCCTTTTAGAGCATGTTAGAAGTTTGGTTTTATTTGTTCCTGGCAAACTTGGTTGCTAACATACACAAAGTCTCCCCCTCCCACATTCCTTCCAGTGTAGGCCAGCCTTTTCCAATGTGCTGCCCTCATGTGGGCTGGAACTACCACTCCCTACAATCACCGTTTTCTTGACCAATACCTAAATATTTCACGTTTTGGTTTATAGTAATGGGAACAGCGAACCCGCAGTGTTCAAATAATGGACCACAACTCCTATCATCACCACCTTGGTCTTGCTAGGATCACAGAATCACAAGGATGGAGGCAGGTCCTGCTCAGGATAAGACTCCCCAGAGCATCTCTGAGAAACGACCATCCAGGCTGTTTGAAGATCTCAATAAAGAATTCACATTTTGTGGCAGCTTGTTCCAATGGGTGACAATTTGTGAGGTCGATCATGTAAGGACTTCACATGATTTTAATTCAACTGGGTTCTGATTCCAACTTGTGGGATAAGAGAGGAAATTTGTTCTTTCTCTTACATGCCAAACCTTTGGAGGTCAAGACTGCGATCATCTCCCCCCCATGGCTGTCTCTTCTGCAGGCGAGAGGTAGACTTCCTGCCCGACTTAACATTGATACCCTTTTTACCTAAAAGACGAATGTGCTCCATCTCAGTCATGCTTGCCAGCAGAGGGACATCAGCTATAGTGTAGGTGGGTAATCAGCCGAGTGTAGATGGACAGAATTTTCCTTCTCTGAACAGTTTCCTACCTCCTCACAAGAACTAATCCAGTGCAAGGAAGAATGTTTTACTTAAAAATAGCGTCTTCCTGAGGAAAATGTTTCTAAATGAATTATATGTGGACAAAGGATGTGAATGTACTGTGTTTTCCCCAAAATAAGACTGGGTCTTATATTAATTTTTGCTCCAAGATGCATTTGGGCTTATTTTCTGGTTAGGTCTTATTTTCAGGGAAATACGGTACTAAATGCATCCATGAGGCTGACAATCTTAACTGGCGCTTATTTTGGAGGGTAAGGCTTATATTAAGAGCATTCTGAAAAATCATGCTAGGACTTATTTTCCACATTTTCGGGAAAACGGTAAAATTACAACAGGCAAATTAGTTGGTCTTGCGTCTGGCTCTTCTGTCTCCCAGTTGTTTATTTAGTACATTTATATACCATCATGATCTTTTATGTAACCTTGGTAGGATATAAAGGCACTAAATAAATCAGTTAGGTTACAATGAAAGTGCTGTCATACGAAATGTTGTATCTGAATATGACACATCATCCACATCTATTCCCAAATGATACTGGTAGTCCTCAAAAATTGAGCCCAAAATTTATGCTGCTATGTGAGAAATTTGTTAAGTGAGTTTTGCCCCATTTTATGACTTTTCTTGCCACGTTTGTGCAGTGAATCAGTGCAGTTCTTAACTTGCTAACACAATTCTTAAGTGAATGTGGCTTCCCCGTTGACTCGTAAAACAGGAATCACACTGCAACTGTCATAAATATGAACCACCTGTCAAGCAGCTGAGTATAAATCACAGGGATGCTGCAACTTCATAAGTGTGAAAAATGGTCACAAGTCCTTTTTCAGTGCTGTTGTAACTTTGAATGGTCACTAAACAAACTGTTGTAAATCAAGGATTACCTATTTCCTAATAAGCTCTGATATAATTTGCTACTATTCTTAGCACAACCTTTACTTTTAAAATGCATGTATGCTAAAATAATAGGTTTGACCACCAAAGCAAAGTGCCCATTTTGCTTAATTTAGTTCAAAACATTCTTAAAGATCCATCTCATTCCTGGGCACCCTGTTTTTGAACTATTACCATCTGGCAGACGGTACAGGATAATAAAAACACAGACAAACAGGCTGAAAAACAGCTTCTATCCCAGGGAAGTAACTATATTGAATTCTACTGTATTGTGCAATACTAATGCAGTATCAGGGGTTTTCAATTCAATTGTATAGAATGTGAAGGATGTGTGTTTTTCTTTTATTTTTATAACTTTTTTTATGTATGATGTAAACTGAAGATAGCATTTAATTTCGTTGTACAAGGTACAATGACAATAAACTAAACCAGGTCTTTGGTTTGAAATGGACAAATGGGAACCAGGGCAAATAGAGATTCGAGTTTGTCTAACTGACTATGACAGCAAATGACACCTTATGCTACAGACCAAATAAATTTGCAGAATTTGAGCACGATGTGTGGAGAAACACGAATACCCAGCTGCCTTATACAATCCAACCCACTGTGCCTAAGCAACCTGCTTTCCAAAGATATGGAGACACAGAAAGTAAAACAACCTTTAAAAAAAGATCCATGTGGCGTGTGTTTTTTCCCCTTTTAACACTTTATTCATAGCATTATTCTGAAGAAAGATTACATCGGTCTTCTGTACAAGTTCTGAACATGCTTCAGTAGGAAAGACAGCTCCACGGGAACACCTCCCCCTCCACCCCAACTGCAGCCCATTCCCAAATCCAGAGAACCGCTGCTGACCCCTAAAACCCACTGCAGTGAGGGAGGGGAGGGAAAATTGTGCTCCCCTATACAAAATAACCTTTGCATAGTTTATGTTCAAAAGAACCTATTTTACAATGAGAGCTGTACACAAGAGGAGTGGAAAGGGAGGGAAGGCGTTGACCCAACTCATGAACCCACAAAAAAAAGTCCTTGGAGCAGTGAGGCTGTGATTGACATCATTAAAATAAGACATTTTTCTCACGGTGGTGATGCAGAAAAGGAGCACATAATCTTACTGGGTTGGGTGGTGTGTCTCCTCTCCCTTACCCTCCAGGTTGGTTGGGGAAATAACTGTCCCACCTCTTCATGCCTCAAAAGGGCCCGACTTGGCGAACGGAATAAGCAGGAAGACAATCAAAAGGGGCAGCCAGAAAGGGGACCTAGCATTTGGTCTCTGTCATTTAAAAACCAACCCAAAGCCAGTAAAAAAGTAAGAGCGAATCGTGTTTATAAATCAGGAGGGCATCCTCTGCAGGATTAGGGGGTGGGTGAGAGGGAAGAGGACAAAGGAACACCTGGGCCCAAAACGTGACACGTGCCGATCAAAAGCCTGGGCTGGACTTCCAAAAGCACTGGGGGGCCTTTAAGGATAGCAGGTGCCCTGCAGTGTTATTCTAGGGGCAACAACTCTGAAGCTACTCCCCCCCCCCCTCCTCGCTCTGCCTTTTTTTCTGGCTTTGGGTTGGTTTTTAAGTGACAGGGACCGATGGCTAG